TCTCTTTGAACCTCAAATGTAAATGGTGCCATTCTTTGAACCTCTACATACTGGGTTTGGCAGTGCTAGGAATGGAAGATCCATGAATGTTTGTGGGAACCTTGTCACATGGCAAAGCAGGAAACAAGAAGTTGTAGCCTGTAGTAGTTCAGGAGCAGAATCTATGTCCTGGTTCATGAGATATGTGAAAGCATATGGTTAACAAKACCATCTCTCATATAGATCCATTCACCAGAAAACCAATTACTAAAAAAAACTCACCATTGATTATACATGAATCAGAAGATAGTGTTGAAGCCACTGCTATGGGAAGAACAGTTTGGAGGAAATAACACATTCTTAAAGCACAATGAAACWWKCAATTTCATAAAAGGACTAGAGATGTACAGATTTCTTAAATACCAACAAAATATGTTTATAGTTGACATACATCTCTATGTATATACAGGTCTTATTACCAATCATTACGATTAAAATAGAAATACAGCAACTACACTCCCTCAATCTACCTGCAAGGATGGCTGAATGCATAAATTTAACAATCCATCAACATAATTCATTCCCTCTTTCATCAATGATACTCTGTAAACATGAAATCAATCAGGATCAAAACATAAAATCCCACAAAACATGAAATCCCACAAAAGATACTCTGTAAAGTCCCAAACTCCCTTTTTTTTCTATTGTGTACAAACTCCCTCTTTTTTCTACTCTGTAAAGTCCCCTTCACCAACTGGTTCGTCAATTGTTTTATAAACATAGTCCAGTCAATACATGAATCCTGTTTTATAAACACACGATGCTCACACACACGATACTCTATAGGATTAACAGACCAAATAAAAAAAAACCCCTTATAGGACCGTGGGGTTTACATACAAAAACCCTTATAGGAGGTAAACCCTAAACCCGCATTACAGAAATTAACCAAGCAAGAGAAATAAAATCGAGAGATAGAGAGCTTGAGAGATCGAGATTGATACCTTAAATCGAGAGATCGAGAGGTAGTAGGCGACGCGATGGAGATATTGACGAATCCTGTTGAGCGATTGAGAGAGAGATCGAGAGCAGTACATGAAGCGATGGAGATGAGCGAATCCTGTTGAGCGATGGAGAGGTTGAGCGACARCAGTAGGCGACGGAGAGAGCAATCCTGTTGAGCGATGGAGAGGGAGCGAGAGCAGTAGGCGAAGGCGACGCGAAATCGAAAGTGGACAGCAAAAGGGGCTGTCATCAAGCAGCCGGGAGGAAGAAATCGAGCAGCAGGGGCTGTCGATTGGAAGCAGCAGAAGAGGGAAGGAAGCAGCAGCCGAGAAGGAGAAGTCGATTGGAGAGTCGATTAACAAACAGAAGGGGAATGATTCCAGCAACAGCGATGGAGAAATCAAATTAAGAGGTTTTCAGAGCTAAATTTGCATCTAACCGATTCAGACAAAATGAGACATTTTCAGCACTTAATTTATAAAAAAAACAAACGCACTTAATTCCTCTAGGTCTGAATCGGTCAGACTTAAGAGGCAATTAAGTGATTTTTTAGAAAAACAAACAGGGCCTTAGTCTTTTTACTTTTTTTTAGTTTATTATATCTTTTTAGGTTTCCTTTTTGTTATTTTGGTTTTTGATTTAATAAAACTATATATTTTTGATAAAAGAATTAATACACAATTTTTTTTATTATTTTGTTATTGTTTATAATGAAATGATTAAATATTTTTCATACAATTTGTTTTTTTATTATAGTTTTATTTTCTTATTACTTCGATTTCTGTCACTAACATTATTCAAGTGCAAGCCGTCGAGTACCTTTCACATAATAATATTTTAATTATTTATTCTTCATTAGAAATTAATTTTTTTTATAGAACCAGACAATTAACTATTTTAGACTATTTTTTCTTCATTAGAAATTAAGTTTATAGAATGTTTTTACATGTTTTTATTAAGACTTTTTAAAATAAAGTGTCCAATTAATTTTTTTAATATAACATTTCTGAAAAATGACATTTTTATATGACATCTTTTCGGATTTGTATTTTAAAAACACGAATTCAAGTTGATTCTATATTGCTTCTTCCTTAGAGAAAGATGATCAAACAATTCTCAATTATGATCCTTGCGGATCAGATATATGCATTTATATGACATTTTTAAAAGAAAAGTATTACAATAAGTTTTTTATATGGCATTTCTTAAAGGGAAATTTATAAAAATAACCGGTTTACACAACCATTTGCCACAAAATAACCACATTTTAGAGGTTTTACCGGAATGACCACACGGATCGCCCCCGGGGGTGATCCCCTCATAAGTCTTAAATTTTTTTTCCTCAAAAGTCGAGATTATTGTTCATCCTCTCGTTGACCGTGTTTGAACTCGCCCCGGGGCGATCCAGGGCGAAGACAAACGTATTGCACATGTGGGGGAGGTTATCGGAAGGTACTCTAAAATACCATTTATATCTTGGAATAAACCGCCACTTCGAAGATACACACAAACATTATCACTTTCACGTGATTTCATGTTTTGTGATGGTTGATTGTGTTTAGTGGGTTAAAGGTTGTGATGGTTTATTGTGTTTAATGGGTTAAGGGTTGTGAGAGTAAAATATATGAGAAAAGAAATGGAAGGGAAGGTGTGAAAAATTATGAAGTAGGAGGTTGGTATTTATAGTGAAATTGGTATTAGAAAAAAAATCAATTTTTTTTTACCCGGATCTCCCCGGGTACAGTACGGATCGCCCCGGGGCGAGGTCAAACACGGTCAACGAGATGATGAACAGTAATCTCGACTTTTGAGGAATTTTTTTTAAGACTTATGGGGGGATCGCCCCCGTAGTGTACGGATCGCCCCCGGGGGCGATCCGTGTGGTCATTCCGGTAAAACCTCTTAAATGTGGTTATTTTGTGGCAAATGGTTGTGTAAACCGGTTATTTTTATAAATATCCCTTTCTTAAAAACTACATTTTTTATATGACGTCTTTTTGGATTTGTATTTAAAAACAGATGTCATATAAAAAAATAATAATTGGACGCTAAAATTATATTAAGATTGTACTTGAACGATGTTAGTAACAAAAACCGAATTGAAAAAAACTAAAATTATAATAACCAAAAATATATATAATAAACCAAAAAAGAAAAATAAATCAAGAAGATTAAAATACCCCCAAGTTAGTGGATGGTTTTTAACATAAGGACGAAAATTATAATTTCATAATCATAGGGACGAAAATAGAAATATTTCTCAAACCATAGGGACTAAAATTGCAGTTTACTCATAATTATTTTTGACTAAAAGGAAATTCTCTTTAATTGAATCCTTTGACACGCATGCAAAATCACCCCAAACAACTCTGCTGTACACAACTCATCCCCACCAATTACTTTACTCTCTCTCTCTCTCTCTCTCTCTCTCTCCCCCTGAAGATTTGGACTTCCATTGATAATCGATTCTAGCTGATACTTGATAATCTTACGATTGGGTTGATCGTAGGATTTACAGCTATGGAGTAATGCCGGGTTTTCCTTCAAAATGCGGTGGGGTTTTGAAGCTGTAATCCGAAATAATTTGATGATATTAAGGAGGTTTGTTATGTGAATTAGGGTTTTCCAAATTCCTGCTAAGATCTGTTCTGTTGATCCACATTTATCGGAGAAGCAAATTTCGGCAACCGTTGGGGGTTTTGCAATCGATCAAAGTTTCAGAACAATAGCTTGCCTTCGTAAAGAAAGGTGATTAAAGCTTCTACATTTTGCTTTTTTAGTTTTGTCCGTTAGTTTTTTACAGTGAGAATTAAGATTCTCGTAACCTCAACGGTCTTTGAACGTCATTCTTAAGCTTCAATTCGCACTTTAAACTACAAAATCTGTGTTATTACTTATTATTGCCTTCTATCTCAAAGGTTTATCGACTTTTGGGGGTTCTGACCAAATCCAGTTGATTAGTTGATGTATCAATGGGGGTTTCACTTTCATACGTTCTGTTGGTTTTGTTGCTCTTATGGCCATTAGTTGAATCTCAATCTGGTTCTGAATTTAAGTCTGCAAGGGCTCTTGATGCACTTCTTCAAGATTATGCTTATAGGGCATTCGTTATTCCGAAAACTGGTGTTTCGTTCAATGGTGTTGTCCCTAAGAACTTGACTGGCATTAAGATATCAGCATTGAGGCTTAGGGGTGGTAGTATGTTTACTAGAGGTGTTCCCACATACAAAGAGTTCAGAATCCCAACTGGGATCATCGAGCATCCATATGTGGAGAGGCTTGTTTTGGTGTACCAAAACTTGGGTAATTGGTCCACGACGTATTACCCTTTACCTGGCTACATGTATCTTGCTCCTATGTTGGGTCTTCTTGCATACGATGCTTCAGACTTATCGGCCAAAAACCTACCTGAATTGGACATCCAAGCTTCTGAAGAAGCCATTTCGATACATTTTGGGCAGGTGAAACCTGTCCCTGATGGTTTAAAGCCAAAGTGTGTCTCGCTTGATCTACATGGTCGGGTGAATTTCACAAATGTAGTATCTGGCAATAGATGTTCGACTTTCAAACAAGGGCATTTCTCCATTGTAGTAAAATCGACCGCCCCTCCTGCACCACTACCTCCTTCAACGTCTGAATCAGTTCCCCGACCAAGCCATGAAGGTGGAGGGAATCATTCGAGGGTGTGGGCTATTGTTAGCTCTGCAGTCGGTGGATGTGCATTGTTGGTGTTGTTGGCATTGTTGGTGTTGTGGATTCGGGGATACAAAAGGAGGAAAAAGATGCATAAAATGGAACGGACTGCAGATGCGGGTGAAGCATTGCACATGACCACGGTTGGGAGCTCAAAAGCACCCGCGGCCATGGTCACAAGAACACAACCAACCCTTGAATCGGAGCACGCACCATAAGCTAACTACAAGATTTGTTCCACTTTTTGGTAGGTATTATTCTCCCAATTGAACCTCTTTTTGGAGGTGTCTTAATATCTTGATTCATTCTTTGCTAATCTTGTAGGTTGGTTGTGTAAATAATAATTTGTGACCTCTTAAAGGAACACATTAGAAGTTGATTGTGCATTTTAGGTGTCAAAGAGAAGAGAAGATTAATTGTATTCATTGTGAATGTTGATGTCCCATTGACAAGTAACACATCATTGATTTTGGTTGCATTTTAAGATGAGAATGCATTTTCTTTGTAGGTGCGAAAAAATCAATGAGATAAGATAAGATTGTTAAATTACTGAATTACCCATATTGGATTAAAACCCTAAACTTTTTTACATTTCTTTTGTTACTTCTCTTATTCGTCCAATCCTGTCTGCTTACCAAATAAATTTCATACATTTGGAAGTGTATTGGTGATGGTGATGGTGATGGTGATGGTGATGGTAAAAGACTAGTTTAATGAGACAATGGGGATGAAGTGTAAAGGGTACAACCACTCCTTTATATGTTTAAAGAGATTATAAAACCCACAGCCTGGATTTCAGTTCACCCTCTTTTTCTTGTTGGGTTAGCTTTAAAATAACACATTATATACAAGTGAATGAAACCCTAATCATTTAGTGTCTAGATCTAGATTTTGACCATTTGTTAAAGAAATGTAGATGAATTAGATCCATTTTATTTGGTAAACTATGCTTAAATGTGGCCCACATCTATTATTTGTCAAGACCATGGAGATAATAAATGCAAAAATAGAGATGTGACATTGTTAAGGGTTGTTTGTTTACCTCTTAATAGTTTCATTAAGAGACAGTCTCTGAATCGTTAAGAGATATAATCTTGTTTGGTAAAAAAAGTCTGCCTCTTAATGGTTCTAAAACCCTCTAAATGATTTTATATTCTAGGTCTCCTTTAACCATTCAACATCCTAATTCTATTGTAAACAATTACCGAACAATTATATTTCATTTTGCATTATATCATGAGAGCCTCTTAGTTATTCCGACCACATAATCATTCTACATCAAACCATTCAACAGTGGTCAAACAGTCCCTTAAACTTAAGCATACCCGTATTTGAATGTTGAACATATTTTTCAAGAAGGAATATATTTTTGAGATTTGGGACAAGTTAACCATAATTTTTAAAAAATTTCCCTTTTATTTTAAACCATATATGATTTAAGATATTTTCTTAACTTAAATATTAAACAATTTATTTTATATGCATAATCTTGAAAAATGTTTTTGGGTTTATGATGGTAAGTTTGTTGTCATCATCAATGCAAAAGATGGAGAAGCAATATTTCCCCAAAATAAACATGAGTTCATTTTACTTTTTTGCCTACTCTAAAAGTGTTGAAATTTTATGGTTGAAAAAGGTTATGTAGATATTTATGGATTATCCGATAACATTATGACATCGGACTGTTTCGTGATACCATATAAATAACACTATATTTTCATAGCAAAATATTGTGAAGGTGAAAGTTTGGTGTCATCTATATTTTCACAATGTTTTGTTGTGAAGTTTCAGTGTTATTTTATGGTCTTACGAGTGTAACTAAAACAGATTGGTCTCACGTGAACCCAACCCAATACTTTGATATGTAAAAACCATTATGTAAGACTCGTCTTTCTCACTTAAAGTTTGTTGTTCTCAAAGATCACCTCCAACCTATACCACTAAATAAACACTAAAATCCATTTTGTAATTCTTTAGTAATTCTTAAATTTTTTAAGGCTGGCTATTAATTAATATTTTTGGAAGCGATTCTACCTATCAAATAAAGGGCCTATTATCTCTTAGGGAAGTTAGAACTTTGGTTTCAAACCCCTATTCGAACGGGAGCATACACCATGCTAATGTACCCCTATGGAAATATTACCCGTATGGTATTTCGTTCATGTATTTTAAATACTTGATACTCTTTCAACCACACACTAAAAATAAAACAAAAAATCCCTACGTCATATAAAATGTCTGTCATGAATACTTTCCCCTCTCATAATTGGTAGTCTCCTTCACAAAACATAAAAAATGACCGTCTGTTGGAGCAAAATGACTGATAAATCCATTTATACCAGTCGATTGAACTGAAATAATTAAATTGGAAGCGATTAAAAGTTCGGTGAGCTTTTTGGCGCAAAAAGATACTTTCTAGAGGGGGAGAGATAGGGGGAAAAGAATGAAACATTAAAATTTTAGGACTAAAAATTTTAATATGCAAAAGGGTGATTTTTTTGGTATAAAATGTTTATATCAAGATTAAATTTGATAAATTAAGTGATAAAGGTAGTTGTTTGTTAATAAGTATTTGTTAGTTGATAAATTGGTTATTTTTTTGTAAAAAAAATTAATTAATATGATAGATGATAGTATAGGGGGTGTTTGGGATTGCTTATTCAAAACAACTTATGTTTTTTTGTGAAAGTGCTTATTAACTTATGTGGTATCAGACTGGAGTTTTATAAAAAAATGTTTGGATTAGCTTCTAGCGGTACCAAAAAACAATAAGCTGATAAGTTGTTTTTTACTGTTTGGCAAATTTTGCTTATATATGTAAAATGACCATAAATGCTAGGCTTCCATATTATTGACTTATGAGAGTGTTTGAGATTGCTTATTAACTTATTTGATTGTTAAACATGTAAAAATTTATTTTTCAGCATTTATAATAATATCTTTGACAAAAAATTATATCAATAAAATTAATAATTTATATCAATAAGGTTAATAATTTATATCAATAAGATTAATAATTAACAAATATTTATGCCAATACCATTAATAATTTATGACAAAAATAATAGATCTGTACAACAAAAGAATATTAGATCTTCTTATAATGTAATATTTTTATAACCAAAATATCAATAACATGGGTAGATCGTCATTTATAATAAATATTCATCTGGATTCACCTATTACATCTCCTGCAACCATTTCTCTTACCGCACTTATATATAGATCGTCATTCATACGACGTGAACTTGTGTTTTCATGTGCTTCATTATCGTTACCACATCCTTCATCATCAACATCAATATGAGGGTTGTATGATTCTTATTACGCCATGTCAAATGCTTCGTTAAAACTACCATTCATCCTAATATAATTGTGAATTGCCATCGACGCTAGCACAATATTTACTTGTGTCTCATAGGTGTAATTGACATGCATATCTTTCAGTATTTGCCACCTAGATTTCCATACTCCAAAAGTTCGTTCAACAACATTCCTCAGTGATGAGTGATAATAGTTAAATGTCTCTTTTGCTCCTCTGGGAGCACATATTGATGCAGTTTGTCTACGACGGAAATCAGGTATGTGATAATGAATATTTGTTCCTTTGTATGGAGCAAGATAATCTTTAGTATTTGGATATTCGGCATCAACAACATAATACTTATCTGTTATGAAAAATAAACAAACTACTGTTATTCGTTTCAAATGGTATGAAAACATAAAAGTTTGCATTACTACAAAAAAATATTAACCACCGATTGGATGTGGAAATTTAAGCTCAGTTCTACGTAAGGTTTCAAAAAATATCCGTGTGTCATGTGCAGTTCCCTCCCATCCAGCCCATGCAAACGTAAAACACATATTAAAATCACAAACTGCCATGATATTTTGCATCGCATATCCTTTTCACCAATGTATTTTGCTTGCTCATGCTCTCGAACCGATGCCCTTACGTGTGTCCCATCGTTAGCACCAATACAATCCTACACATATAAGTAAAATAATTTATTAATCTATTAAAATGTTACGATCAAATACGAAGCAAGATATAGGAAGTACCTTGAACATTGGATAATAACGAGAGTTATTTAAAATATGTGCGAGTACATCTTCATTGTAATTTGCATTTGGTTTTATGATGTTCGCACTTAACTTAATCACAGCTTTCAAAACAACATGTAAATGCCTATAAATAGTCTCTCAAGAATGATTAAATGTTTCTTGAATTAACCTATTCCCACACCCATGTGCTAAAGTCATCAAGAAAATGCCAACAGATTCCTCAATACATATATTACGTGTTGGCTTTAACCCATAACGTGTAGCAAGATCTGAACATAACATTTTCAATATTGGGACATGTAGTCTGAAATCTTCATAGCAACGTCTAGGATGACCGTTAAGTACTTCATGAATTAATATGTTTCCTGTGCGAGAAGATGTGCAGCAAGGCATGCGCGTGCTATTCAATTTATGACTTATTAGTATCCCTTTGATAGCTATTGCACATGATAGTAGTCATCTGTTCTCCTCTTCCACCCAATTTATTTCATTATCATCATTCAAATTAGAGTCACTATCTATCCTATTAATAGATAAAAAAAAATCAAACATACTAAAAACACATATAAAAAGGATAGATAATATCAAACGTTATACATAATGTCAAACGATAATACAAGATATGAAAACAGTTGAAAACATAATACCACAATATTAAACGATAATGTGAAACATCATCCTAAAAATGGATAGATAAAATGAAATGGGAGAAAACACGATATGAATCATTCTACGATATGAATCATTCTTCCATAAGTAACTTAAGAAACTCCATCCTTGCCATGTGTGTCTTTGGAACCATAAAATTTTCACGGACTTGCTTTTTTAGGAAGATGCGTAATGCTTGGCTATACATCCTTAAACCTTCTTCAAATACTGGAAAACATGTCACATTGTCCATGCATTCTTGTGTCGTTGGTGAGTATTTATTCTGTGATGAAAAAGGTTGCGTGATTCGTGATGATAGTGCCTCCTATACATTATCTAGTTTATCCTCAAATGAGGAAGTTACAGAAGATTTTCCCTTGGTTGAACGGGTAGGTACGACATTATTCGGCTTCTTCCTTTTACTCGAACTACTTTGAGGGAAAAGATGTTTATCATCGTCGCCTAAATTCACTTCACCACTATCTTCTTTACCCTCATGATCTTC